TCCTGGCATCGCTACTAGGAGCAAGGACGCTACTAGGGGCTCCTGGCCGTACTACTAGGAACAAGAAGCTACTAGGGTCCACCAGCACTATGTGCAGTGAAGTCCTAACAAAGTCCTAAAGCGTTGAAGTCCTAACATAGTTCCTTCCACGACCATTGGTGGGTTTTTTCATAGTATGACGTTCTCCATGGCATCTGTTCCACACTTATCCTGTTGGGTTCTTGAAAATGCTCAAATAACGGCTTTTGTTGGGATCCCTGCCCAGTGGCCCTTCTCCAACGACTTGATTGCACTTGCGGTCTCATTCTGTGACAACAGAAGGGCCCGTTGCCACTGCTCAGCCTGGGGGGACAATGAACGAAACGTTGCGGAACATGAGAGGAAGAGGGTGGAAGTTTGGACTAAAGATGACTAGTAGCGATGGCCTCCACCCTAGTATCGATGGCCTAAGAGCGATGGCCTCCAACCTAATACAGTAGCAATGGCCTCCAATTTTGACGAGGCTGGATCATCGCTCCAATGAACCGTTGGCCCCTCACAGGGCCTTGCTGCAGGCACTGATCACAGCAGCAGAAAATGAATCCTGGACAACAGCCATGGAAGGACCAAGAGGAAACCCCATTGTTAAGAAGAAGCAAGAAGGTTTTCTTGAAAGCGAGTAGAAAGAAAGAATCAATGGTCCAAATTTTTTCATAAATCTACAAACTGCAGAGGAACAAGAAGCTACTAGTGGCAAAGGGCAGTACTAGTAGTAGCTCCTCTCTACTAGTAACAAGGGCATTACTACTAGGAACAAGAAGCTACTACTACTACTATTACTATTACTACTACTACTACTACTACTACTACTACTACTACCACTACTACTACTACTACTACTACTACTACTAGTGACAAGAAGCTACTAGTAGGTACATTTACACCCACAATGAATGGAGCCCGTCCGATTGTAGCGCCAGCTCTACAGCTTCACCTCAAGAGCGCAAGAGCCACAATCCTATCGTGTCTCGAAACGTCCCTTGTTGTCGTTCGCTCCTAGCTCACGGTTCTTCAAGAAAGCTTCCCTCGGTTCTCAGGCGGGGGGAGCTTCCTGCCCTCAAAAGGGCTCGCACTAGTAAACAGGTTCCCCTGCAGTTTAGTGCGAAGGAGTAAGTTTTAATGTGTTTCCTCAGTTTAAAGCTTAAGCCCCCTACCATAGAGTAGAGGGGTTAAAGAGCCTCCCGGCCCCCTCTTGGTGAGACACCCTCTCCCTCTTCTGACTACCTGACCTGCACGCGTGCGGGGAAGGTCAACAGAGGGCGGGGAGGGATACTCAGCCTGAGGGGTAAGACCTTGAGACCTCGCATAGGCGTAGGCTCACATTGTTCGGCTCATGCACGTCCAGACTGGGATACAATCTAAACGCTGTAAAAGAGGGCTGTCCTGAAACAATTTGTGATCCCCCTCTTCCTTGGGGGGTCCCCCTTGCACGTGCCTCTTTCTCAGGTGGACAACCTCATGGGTTGTAAAAGGGGCACGGTGGATACCAGTATTTGGTTGCACCTGGACCCGTTATTGAACGGGCCAGGGGTGTTTCTGCTATAGTGGATTCGCTAGCAACCCGGGGGGTACAACTGTTTCAAGTCTGCTTGTGTTGGTTTCGTCAGGTTCTCTGCTGCTCTGGCCTCATGCTGTTGTGGGGCTGGTTTCTGTGGGATCTGACTTTGTGATGAATCTCCCCCATTGCGCAGTTGGAGAAACGAAACTCGTGACCACTATTCCTTTGGTCTCCGTTCGTAGCGATGCCCTTTGTTCCGTTCGTTTTAAGGCTAGGAGCCCTAGTAGGGTCGCTCCTAGTAGCGATGCCAGGAGCCCCGTTCGTAGCTTCTAGCCCCTAGAGATTTGGTTCCTAGATTTGGGGGGAATCTTAACTTGTCTCCCTGCAAGGCACACAGCAAAGATAAAGCCGCAGTCCACTCAGAAGCCTTGCAAGGTCTTGTCACTGATGTCACTGTCTGGATTAATTGAGCAGGAATAAAAACGCTACTAGGAGCAAAGGGCATCGCTACTAGGAGCATGGACGCTACTAGGAGCAAGACTCGAAACGTTGCGAGGCACTGGTGCCCTTTCGTGCCTTCTCACAGCTTGCGAGCACAGCTGCATATGCCACACCGTCAACTTGTAGCGATCTCCTGCGTGAGCTACAGCCAAAAGTCTGAGACCATAAGAGGCTTCTCGACATCTTTAAAGCTTGCTTCTTCTGGCCTCCAATCTGTGGCATTTCAATTATTTGGGCTACTTTGCAAGCCATACACCAAATAGATGAACAAACGCTCTTATCCGGTTCTTGTGACAATTGCAGTCTCACGCACATTTTGGCCAAGCCGACAGCCCTGCAAACATGCACCCAAAGCAGAGTTAAAGGTGATCTCATCCGGTAGCACTTGCAAGTCCATCAAGTGATGTAGCAAATGCCTGATGGGTGAAAGGAGCTTGAAGCCCTAGCAAGCATTTGAGTGGTGATTGTCAAAATATATTGTGGGTCAAGAAGACTTTAGAGCACAACCCAATGTATATATATTATATCCCCAGTCACCCTCAATGACAAACAGTACTTGTCACGCCACTCTTGGATCTGTCAGAACAAGATTATTGGAGCATGTGACATGTGTGCCATATAGCAAGACTGTTCCAAGCCATGCTGCAAAGCTAGTTGCCATTGGCATCCTTTTTCGCACGCACTGATGATGCCTTAGAGTCAATCAAACTCCAACAAGTTGTACACCATTCATACCTGCATTGGCATCAAGCAGCACATTGGTCGAGAATGGTCGATCTTTTTTCAGCTGAATCTTATTGGTATCCTGCAAGGAATACCACGTAACTGATTGCGGGTGCCCAGCGTTCAGAAGCACTCAATTCTTTCCAAGACCAACTCACCCATGGAGGTTTGTCCCGAATCGTTTCTGACCGCTGCCTTTAAGTGGCAGGCGACAGCTGAACTCTGGCCCAGGTGCTGTTGAGTGTGACCAAAGAGGCAGCGATCCGTAGCCAAGCGAGGGATCTGAGCAATTGAATTCCTTGATCCCAAAGCGCAGCCTTCGCACAGACCTTATGCCAGGAGCGTCCTTGCTCCTAGTAGCGATGCCAGGAGCCCCTAGTAGCGTCCATGCTCCTAGTAGCAATGCCCTTTGCTCCTAGTAGCGTCCTTGCTCCTAGTAGATCATGTTCGATCATGCTAAATTTTGTAGCCTGGACCGAAACAGCCAAGACCTACGGACCAACCACCCGTGGCCACAGGTTTCTACTGACAAACAATTGCTACTGTATCACCTCAAGCATAACAGGGCTGACATGGACAAAACACATCCGTGGAAGCATTGGAGTATCATGAGCCTTTGGAGAACACACATTGACACGATAACACAAAAGGTGACAATGAGACCAGCTAGGTGCACAACCTGCATTCTTGTCTTAAACCTCCTACACATCCAGGCATCAAACAAACATCTCCTACAATTCTTACAAATCCATGTGACGCTGATGGCCGCATTGCAGTGGATCTCTGAGAGGCACTGCCCCAACCAAGCACCAGAAGCGAGCCTGGGCAGTCAATCATGAATCTCCCAAAGGCCTTCTCACCGTTCTGAAATTGGAGGACATGACTACTGTAGAAGAAACCATTCTCACCAAATGCGGTCGCACTTATAATAGGACCGTGGTTTGGCAGTTTCTTATGCAGCAATTTCATCAAGCCACTGTGCGAATGCATGACACCATTGACTTGTAGCTTCATAGCTGACCAGTAAGCTGCCTTGACTGCTGCAGGAACCCTATTTTTCGCACGACAAATCTGGTCAAAACGAACAACAAAAATCTACTGGAAAACACTCTGAAGGAAACTTCGTCGAAGTGCCAAAAGTCACTGGTGACACTTGGAGATCCACCTCGACTCGGCAAGAACGAAGATAATCACTGCAGCGAACATGTTCAGCTTTACAGCTGTAAGCACAAAAATGAAAAAGTCTTCCCAATATTTCCCAACTCCAAGCGTGGCCTGATTAGGTTGGAGGCCATCGCTAGTAGGTTATTCCAAGAATTCCTCCCCCTTCAAACTCCATCCTTGCGTTCTGCGTCTGGGAACTTCATGCATTCGTCTCAAGAGCTTGGAAGCAGCTGTCCAGTGGCCCTCCACTGCAGCTGCAGCGCTATTGAAGGTTATGACGTCCGGCTGCAACGACACACCTTTGAGGCTGCAAGGGCGCACGCTTTATGGGCACTTGAAGGGCTTTAAGGCACTTTTCGGACCAGCGAAAATATGGTCCAAAGCTCTCACAAGGATCACAACTGCTTTTCGCCACCTGTCAGGTGAGGGCTGTTAGAGTCAGAGTTTCACGGATAGTCTTCTACTCCTTCTCCTTCTCCTTCTCCTCTGCCCCGGACCTCAACAGCAAGCACCAGATCACAGTGGGCAGTCTTGGACCTCAACTGCAAGTGGCAGATCACAGTGGGCACTGCCGGACCTCAACCGCAAGTGGCAGATCGCAGTGGGCAGTCTCGGACCTCAACATGCAACACACAACCAACAACACACAACCACAAAAACACAATCTAGGTAAGACGCAGGATAGCTCTTGCTTCTTCAAGGAAGCTCCCCCCTGCCCTCAGAAGCGCTCGCACTAATGATTTGGTTCCTAGTTTTTTACGGAAACTTAGTGTTTTTGGGAAACACCTGGGGATCCAAAGCTGCAAGACAAGGTAGACAAGGGACCGGACACACTGCAAAGCAGCTCGCTGGAGATCTGCCACTCCCGAGCTTTGGCACACGAACTGCTCGCACTGTTGTAACATGTGGTGTTCCTCACCGCAAACAATACTTGCAACATCACATGTTGCATAAGAATGTTGATGCACAAGATTAAACGCTCCAAACTGTGAAAGAGCCGGACAAAAATGATCCCGAACTTAACTATGCCAAGTTACGCCCTCTCCGCTGAGTCGAGGGCCCCAAGGGCAAAGCGCCATTCACAAGCCCGATCCAACGCATTGATCCTGAAAGAATTGGTTCACGTGTTAGCAAGAAGCTACTAGGGGGGCTCCTGGCATCGCTACTAGGAGCAAGGACGCTACTAGTAGGGGCTCCTGGCCTTACTACTACTAACAAGAAGCTACTAGGAACAAAGGGCATCGCTACTAGGAGCAAGGGCGCTGCTAGGGGCTCCTGGCCTTACTACCATGAGCAACGAAGCTACTAGGGGCTCCTGGCATCGCCTCTCTGAATTGTCTTGTTGGATCAAAGTGCTACAAATCGCCAGTCTAAGCTGCTTGGTGCCGAGAGAGATCACATCCGGTTCCAACGTGGCAGCAAAGCCCTTTTCCAAGGCATCCAGGACCATTGACCTAGTGGGTTGGAGGCCATCGCTGTTAGAAACAGTGAAAAAAGAAAAGGAAGAAATGCATCCAAGACCATTGACCATTCCGAAGCTCCACTGGTGGCCCTCAGCGCCAGGTTCAGCCCGAACAGCTCAACAGGTGACGATCTGGACGATCTGGACCTGACGACAGGTGACTTCACGGACTTCAACGGGATTTGACCACTTCGTCCTTCTTTGTTTTTTTACATCATCAAGTAGAGGCTACCCACTTAATTCTAAGTAAGGGCGACTAGTTTGCGAAGAGCTCGCACTAATGCCATTAATAGCGTCCGATCGCTCCTAGTAGCGATGCCAGGAGCCCTTAGTAGCGTCCTAGTAGATTTAGGGGAACTCAACTCTTACAGCGAAAATGCTGCCAGCACAGAAGAGTGGACACCAAATGCAACGCCACCCACCAGCCGGATGACTCCATTGCAGACATCCTCACATCAGACGCTGAGAAACTTGAACTAAGCCAGCCAAGTCAACTCTAGCTAGAAAGACTGTCATTGAACGTAACCTGCCAGGCCACGCTGCCACGTTGCGGTTCCGGACGCCACCAAAGACACCACGGGCGGTGTCGAAGTGGGCGAGACCCAAGTGCCAACCGGCCTCCCTGAGAGACAGCTGGACCGAGCCTTGGAGAGCAAGTTGGCCCGCCCTTACTTGATTGAGTATAGGCAGTATAGGTGCCTACTTAATTGAGTAAGGAAGTAAGCTACTAGCAATAGGAAGCTCCTACATATGGACGCAGGATAGCTCCGGCTAATGATATGGCTCCTAGAATTTTAGGGAAACTTAACCTTGTGTGATAGTATGGGGCCATTTGTGTTCATATTCTAAGGCAAGCATAGTGGTGTGGGACATAATGAATGCATCCTGCTCCACTAGGTAGAGTATATTATTTGCTTTAACTTGCAATGGAGCCTTAGTAGTGCCGAGTAGTCAAGTTGTGAAAGGTTTAGTGGTTCGTGGAACCCAGGGATCTCAGCAACACTCAACTGGTCACATTTACTTCTCAAAGAAACTACTGCTGATCTGTCGGTAGGGGATCGTGAATTGCAGAACGGGTTCATCAATGACTGCTTAGTAACGATATGAAGTTACAAATGCTACTCGATTGGGGCACCGACCAATGCTGATCGCATCGGGCTCCAGGTTTCTGGTCGCAAAAAGGCTTAGGGCGCTCCTGGCTTTAGCTAGAAGCATTGCTCAACTCAAACAATTCACTCCACGCGGTTCTTCTTCACATGGCCTAACCCCTGACTCTATCGCGGGGGAGTGCGATAGAAGTGCACCTCCACTTGAGCAACGCTAGGGCACTGTTGAGGCTTCGCAGGTTCGGCGAGGCGCTCCAACACAGGCAGCCAAGTACTGACAAGCCTTGTGCACATGTCGCAACATTGTCCAACTGAAGTATGCTAATATACTACATACTACATGGATTGGAAGGGAGAGAAGACAAATGTTGCTGCTGCTATTGATCTATGCTTGCTAGAGATGATTGGACTTAAGTACCCAGAATAGCAAACAGACTCGGAACATGAAACAATCAGAATGATCGACTTTCTGTTTGGTTGATAATTTAGATCGCACTTCTTGCGGGTCATTCGCTCCTATAGGCTTGAAAGATGCCAGCCTCGTTCCCATGCAGAGCGAAGACGAGACATAATCACATTGTAGCTGGAGACTTCCGGAGTCGCCTCGGATATGACGATTAGTAGGGTGGAGGCCATCGCTACTAAAGTGGAGGCCATCGCTAGTAGGTTGGAGGTCATCCCTAGTAGGGTGGAGGCCATCCCTAGTAGGTTGGAGGCCATGCCTAGTAGGTTGCAGGCGATGACTAGTAGGGTTGAGGGCATCGCTAGTAGGGTGGAGGCCATCACTAGTAGAGTGGAGGCCATTGCTAGTATTAGTAGGGTGGAGGCCATCGCTAGTAGGTTGGAGGCCATCCCTAGTAGGTTGGAGGCCATCGCTAGTAGGTTGGAGGCCATTGCTAGTAGGGTGGAGGCCATCGCTAGCAGGTTGGAGGCCATTGCTAGTAGGTTGGAGGCCATTGCTGGTAGGGTGGAGGCCATCGCTAGTAGGTTGGAGGCCATTGCTAGTAGGTTGGAGGCCATTGCTAGTGGTTGGAGGCCATTGCTAGTAGGTTGGAGGGCATCGCTAGTAGGTTGGAGGCCATCGCTAGTAGTTGGAGGCCATTGCTAGTGGGGTGGAGGCCATCGCTAGTAGGTTGGAGGCATTGCTAGTGGGGTGGAAGGCATCGCTAGTAGGTTGGAGGCCGTTGCTAGTAGGTTGGAGGCATCGCTAGTAGGTTGGAGGCCATCGCTAGTAGGTTCGAGGCCATTGCCAGTAGGGTCAAGGCCATCGCTAGTAGGTTGGAGGCCATCACTAGTAGGTTGGAGAGT